GTCGGTCTTGTGTAGCGTCCCACCTCCTTCGTCGTCTTTTGTCGCGGCTTTCACTTTTCACCTCTCTCCTCCATCGGAGTGAGAGCTGGGTTGCGATCGGTGAGCCCAAACTAGCTCAACGACGCCGCTTAGCGAGGCGGTCTGTCGAAGCGTGATCCCGGAGTCATCCTGGTGCACCTCGATTCCCAGGTAGAAGGAGAGAGGCCCCAGGTCACTCATCTGGAAGGTGGCCTTCATCTCTTCCTTGAATGCCGCCACCTCCGCATCCTTGGTGCCGGTGATCACCAAGTCGTCGACGTAGACACCCACCAGCCGAGGCATTTCCTCCATTGCCCCGTCGGGTAGATGGCCGCCTCGTGCGGGCTTTGCTCGAAGCCCATCCCTTTAGCGTGGAATCCAACTTGGCATTCCACGCCCTCGGTGCCTGCCGCAAGCCATAGAGGGCCTTGCGCAGATGAGCACCTGCCCTCCTTGCCGGGATCACAAATCCCAAATATCAGACCTCCTCCTTCAAGTCGCCATTAAGGAACGCCGACTTGACATCCATGTGGTGAACACGCCAGCCCTCCCAGGCGCTAAGCGCAAGGAGGAGTCGCAAGGACTCCATCCGTGCCACGGGAGCAAAAGCGTCGTCGAAGTCGACCCCCTCTTGCTGCACGAAACCTCGTGCCACCAAGCGAGCCTTGTGCTTGACGATGGCGCCGGCTTCATCCCTCTTCAACTTGTACACCCACTTAAGGGTGATCGCGCGGTGACCACGAGGAAGGTCAGCAAGCTCCCAGGTGCGGTTCTTCTCAACCGCATCCATCTCCAACTGCATCGCGGCGCGCCATGCATGCCGTGTCTCGCCCTCTGCAAATGATCGAGGCTCGCCGTCGTCACACGTAAGGTGCAACTACGCCTCCAGGTCGTGAGGCACCAGTCCCGGCACCGGCTGGTCGCCGAGAAGGTTCTCCACCGTACGGTACCGCAACGGCTCACCGTCGTGGTACGCGTCGACGCGCTCCTCGTCGTGAGAGAGCAGAGTAGCGAGCTCAACCGGGCCGTGCTCGGCACACGGCCGGTGGTGGAGTAGACGTGCCCCGGAGTGGTGCCTATCGGTGCTGAGTGCGTGGCGCTGCCGGTGCCGTGGTGGAGCTGGCGAAGAGCTCATCGCAGGTAGAGGTCTGGCCGGAGAGCATGGTGCCGTCGAGTAGCAAAGCCGGGTCGGTGGAGGCTCGGAGATTGGGGTAGATGCGCTCCGAAGAAGAACCGCCACTCCCCACTCCCTCGGTGGACGTACTTCGATAGTGAAGTCGTCGTCGTCGGAGCCGAGCCGTCGCCCATCGCTTGTCCACGCCATCCTCGCTTTTCGTCGAACACAACGTCGCGCGCTGCTGCGCACACGCCGTGTGGCTTCTAGGATGCGGTTCCGCGAAGCCGGCGAACACTCCCGGAGTGCTCCTGCTCGCCGAAGCTTTATGGCCAAGCTCCTTGGCGAATGCGAGGCGGCCAAGACCCGCAAGTGGGAGACCGCCGCTTGCGCCCATGCCAAGCCTCGCCTCGACGGTCTCGCCATCAAGCGCCTTGGTAGGCGAGCGGTTGAGGATGTAGACGGCCGTCACCACCGCCTCTCCCCAGAAGATAGCCGGCGTCCCCCTCTGCTTGAGGAGGGCCCGAGCCATCCCCACAACCGTCTCGGTTTGCGCTGACGACGCCGCTTCTGCTGCGGGTCATACGACGCGGAGTAGTGGCGCCGAATGCCCTCGTCCTACATGAATTCAGCCGCCGTGGAATTCGCCGCCGTTGTCGGTCACGTAGCACGCGCAGCTTGCGGCCACACTCCGCCTCCGCAGCAGCCTACGCGCGCCTGATGGCGTCCGTAGCCTCTCTCTTGCTACCGAGGACCATCACCCACATGTAGCGGGAGAGGTCGTCGACGAGCAGAGGAAGTAGCGTCGTCCTCCCGGTGTGGCACCGACCACACAAGTCCCCGCGGCACAAGCTCGAGCCTCTCCTTGGCTCAAAAGCTCGCCACCGGGAAAGGGGAGTCGCCTGCCCGTCAACGCGCAGATGTCGCAGAGCTGCTCCACATGGTCGAGGCACGGCGGGCCTCGCACCATCTCCGTGGCACTAAGCCGCCTATGAAGGTGCCCGAAACATGTTATTGCCACGCCTGCCGTCCCCGACGAGCGGCGAGACAGAGGGGTTGTGCCACCGCACGTTAAGAACGTAGAGTCGATTTGGCGCTTCGGATACCTTGGCAAGAAGGCGACGACGACGATCCCAAATCCTCATGACTCCGTCTCAACCACCACGCGAACCGCTCTCATCTAGCTGTCCCAAGTCGATGATGGAGTTCCTCAACGTAGACTCGTGAGCGATGCATGCTCACCGATGAAGTGGTGAAGATGACGGAGCCGACGCCTTGATCTCCACGCCGGAGGCATCCCCAAACTTGACGGAGCCTCGAACGCTAAGTCAAGCTCGGTGAAGAACTCCCGTCGACCGGTCATGTGATGGGTGGCGTCGGTGTCGAGGCACCACCCGTATCTTTGTCGCTGCCGGAGCTGCCGAGGAGGGCATGTGTGCTTTTGGCTCATCGGTGGAGGAGAGCCGCATGCGGCAGTGCTACCGGAGGTAGCTCGATGCCGGCATGTGCCATGAACAGAGCCGGCTCCTCCTCCTCCGCTTTGTATGTGGGCACCGGCCGCGTGTCGTCATTCTTAGCCGCAGCTTGCGGCGGTGTCATCGTCGCTGGCCAGTGTCTGCATGGCTCATTATGCCTCCGCGCATCATCACCCTCGGCATGTCCTCGCGCCCGGCACTGGCGTCTCTGCGCTTTTCTGCTGCGGCTTGCCACGCTTATGTCGCTGCTCGTCGCGAAGAAGGCTCCTCTTCCTCCGGTCACCACCCCGGCCGGCAAGCCATTCCGCCCGATCGGGCTCATCACCGCACGACCTTGAGGTGACCTATCGCCTCCTCGATCGACATCGTGGAGAGATCCAAGCACGACTTCGATGAGCAAGCCATCTGCTTATATTCTCGGACGCGTGACTCTCTCCTCGCCGTGGGTGTCGCCGCCGAATCGCACCATCTTCTCGCAGAGTGTTGAGACGGAGAGTAAAGTCATCAATATCCTCACCGGGCTTGAAGGCCGTGTCTCACCTGCGAAGTGCTATGGTTCTCTATCGTGCGCAGCGATGGCGTCCCAAGCCTCCTTGGCAGTCCGCTAACGGTAAAAATATCTCGGTCTCATGAGAGCATCCAGCCCCGTCGATCTAGGTCGAGTCGACGCCGCCATACCGGACCGCCTCCCACATGTGCCGCACACGGAGCTTTACCCTCATCACCGCAGCCCACTCGGCGTAGTTGGTCTTGGTGAGGGTAGGCCACCAGGGACCGACGTCCCCGACAACAGCTAGAGCCCGTGGTAACCACGGTAAGAGAGCCACGCCGCTACATCGACCCATCGTATGGGGAGAGAGAGCCACGTTGCTGTGAAGGCCGCGCTCTCCATCGACCCGTCCGCCACCGCTGTCGCGCGCGCGCTCCTCCAGAGCGCGCCGCCGCCGTCGCGCGCCTCCTCCAGAGCGCCACCGCGCGCGCGCCGCATGCGCTGCTTACCGCCACTTCGTATGCGTGGCTACCCAGAGCGCCACCGCTGCGCGCGCGCCTCCTCCAGAGCCGCCGCCCAAGCGTCAAGCGCTGTTCGGCTACCGCGCCACGCTGCGGACGGCGTCTTGGCTGCGCCTTCATCCCGCCAGCCAAGGCCTTTATTCTCTAGCATTCGAGGTCTGCGTCGTGTCGCGTCGTGAAATGGAGCTGCCGATAGCCAGCTCGACCTCCACCGCCGTCTCTCCTCGCCTCGCTGCTGCTGCCCGCCGCCCATATTATTTTGACTGCGGCAAGTTCGGCCTCTGTCGAAAGGCGACCGAAGGCCGAGATCGCCTGGGACATGACGCTAGCTAGCGGGAATGTGGGGAGAGGCAAGAGAGGAACAGAGCATCATCTCTCATGGTGCAGGGCAAGGTCAGGGAGATGCTCAGGGCTATAGGATACTATGGCTCTGATACCACTTGTTAGTCATTAATTCTCACTCTTGTTAGTAGGAGATTCTTACTCTCATCGAGAGAGGATGACACTAGGAGTTGGGGCAATTTTTCTTGTCTATCTCTCACAAAGCTCACATGCCATACCAACTTAATCATGAACATATTATATTACCGCCACCCAAGCATATCCAGATGCTAGTCTAAGATGCTAGTCTAAGATGCTAATATTCCTAGCTAAGATGTTGTCCTCTAGTCTAAGATGATGTCCTCTAAGATGCTGTCCTCTAGTCTAAGATGCTGTCCTAAAAACAGAAAAACAGCCACAAGGACCATATGAGCAACAACAGCCCCACAAAGACCAGCCACACATGACTTATCCATCACTAACTAACGGAATTGCTTCAAATGCCCTAAGTATACGGGGAACTAAAAGGAAATGCTTATGTGCCCTAAGTATGTGGAACTAAAAAGAAATGATTATGCGGGCGCAGCATAGCGCGCCTGGCGTCCTAGTTCTACTAGAAAGTGAATTTACTAAACTAGCTTTTGATTATATGCCTAAAATTATCATGATTTGGATCATGGTAAATTTGTAGAAGTATAGTACTTTTGGAATCAGAAAAATGTAAAATAAATAGGGAGATAACTGGGGCATGCTGACATCATATAAACATAAACATATGCCTTATTTCAGGAATAGGACCACTATCGAGGCACCATTAGATACTGAAACGCTATATATTGGGTGCAATACACCAGGTGTATTTATCTAGATAATTGTTTAGATCACATACAGCAGTGTAAATTTACAGATACCCAATCAAGTACAAACTGTGATATCTTAAAATTTATATCTTGGGGAACTGCAATACTTCATTCACTATACTAACTCAATCATCAAGCATGTGGGACAAAACAATCAACCAAACACTGAAGAATAAAACAACTCACACATGGAACCATACATCAGTTTGTAGCAGTGGTACAACACATGCAACTGGTAAAAAGAGAGGATCTTGCCTTCTGCTTTTCTTTGCTTCTTGGTGAACTAACCATGGTATTACGCTTCGAGTTTGATTCTGGTTCCTTCAATGGAGACCACATACCAGCTTCGCCTTTCGTCAGCAAGCTCTGAAATGGTTTCTTAAATCTTGTAGAATGATTTGGTATTCTGAAGTCTCCTGATGGTTCCCTGGGGCTTAACAGGGGGCTCCTCTCAGATTCATCCTCAGCTTCAGCTTTAAATTGCATTACAGCAATGTCGGTTGTGGGGATTTCCACGTGTAGTTGGCTATGCTGCTCAATAGAATTGGAAAAACCTATATTTTGTGCTCCCTGAAATAATGGAGTCACTTCACTGGCTTCTCTCCCTGGAGTTGATGTCTGAAGAGGATGTAGTTCCTCAGTAGCCGTATCAACACTTGCTGTGACTTTCACTTGATTGCATTGAGCAGTAAAGGCTACAGCTGCAGTGCTTTCTGTGACTTCCTTCTGGTAGTGGTTGGCTTCAAAGGTAAAATCTGAAGATCTAGTGTTTGTATCTACTTTCTCATGGTTGATACCATCAGTAGAGATTATGACTGCATTCAAGCTATCTCCCACCAACTGCATACACTTTCTAAGAATCTCACCATTCTCAAGTTTCAAAACCTCGTATTTTTCAATCAGTATCTGCTGAGACTGGTCACCTTGTGAGTTTGTAATAGTTTCTTGTTTATCTCTGGTTCTATATACCTCCCTGTCAATATCTTCTAGTGATCGAAGAGGAGTTGATGGTATGGCCTTTGGTAAATTGGATAAGTCTCCTCCCTCCTTTGCCACTACGTGTGCATCAAAAGGGAGACCTAGACCTTCTACATTATTTACCTTATCTTCTTCTAAAATTTCCTTTACTGTCTCTTTATCAAACTCTACTATTCCGATTATTCCATTGATTTTTCTTTGTATCTCTTCATTCACAATATGGTGATGATCTGACAAAGATGATTGTAAGCCTGTAAAATCCTTTCCATTGACCTCAGTAATGCTGACTAAGTTACCATAATATTCTTCAGGTTCCTTCTCTGCTGCAAAATTATCTTCTAGATTCCAAGCCGTGATATTTTTCTCAACAATTCCTTCTTCCTTGTATATTGATTCTGTGCCATTATGCTCCATTGTTGTAGCAACAGAACCTGAACTCTGTCTTGAACCAACTACACTTTCATTTTGTTCATTTCCCAGTTCTGGATCATTTATTGCAGTTGGATTTTTTAAATATGGTTGACACTTTGCAACAACTTCATCATTACAGAGATTACCACACAATGCACTTATTGTATTATCTTCATCCTGATTTCCCATTCCATGGATATTATTATCATCCTCAAGTGGCTCATCACTTTCAATCATAAGCTTTACTGTTGCAGTTTTGCTTATTGCTCTGTTTTCTTCCTTGTCATGTGGTATTTGTATTTGCATGTTGTCATTCTTGGATGTCTCTATGCTTGTGCCATCTAATGGTTGCACATCTGGCCGACTCTCTCTTTGTCCAGACTTATCTTCTATAACAACTTCCTTGATCTCAGAGTCATCAGCATCAAGATAAGTGCTGACAATTGATTCAGTTGATGATGTAGTTTCTCCTTGCATTGCCACCAATTTATCCTCTACTGTTGGCACCTCAATGTATCCTCGTTCTAAGTTCTCAGTTGTATCTTCACCAGCTAGACTACCACCCATGGGGGAATTGTCATGACTGCTAGTTTCTTCCTGTTCTTCTAGTGAACCTTCTAATTTTTCTTGTAACAAGGATTTGTGGTTGCCTTGGATAGTTTCTTCACTTGGTACAATTTTTTCATTAGAGATTGAACTATCCTTGTAGCTTGTCACATCTTCAGTGGTACTGACAAGAGCAATTATTTCGGAAGAAAATATGGCTGTTTCAGTTGCTTCTTTCCTCGATGGTTCATCATCTGTACCAAATTGCTTGTTTTTGTTAAGAGAATTCAGAGCTGCTGGGGAACTAAAAGCAGTATGGTGTTTAGATTCTAAATTTATTCGTTAAAATAGTTGTTTGTTGAAGATGCATATTAAGGTGGATAGTACCTATATTTGTATTATTTTGGAGTCACTATATTTATCTTGCTATTTTTCTTCCCTGTTTAGGGGGACTATTCTTTACTTTTATCACTGACCTTACGAATCTCTATATCTAGCTTGTTTTCATTGTTTTAAGGGGACTATTTTTCATTTTTACCACTGACCTTATGAAATTTCCATGCTTCTTCACTAATTAGGGAACGGGGAGAACTTTTCTGAACTTAAGAAAATGATATGGCAGGGTACCAAGTTAACTAGAAACTGAGTCGGGAAACTGAACTAACCTTTTTGTAAGTTACTACTCTGATCATCTCGTGTTGATGTGTTATACTGAACTGAGCTCCTTTTTTTCTCTTCTAAGCCTTCAATCTTATCTGATGAAATATTTTGATATGAGGCCACCTGCTTATCTTCAGCATTGGTAATGATGGGTTCCTTTGAGGATTTTGACCAGTTGACATCCTCAGCGCCATCCTTCTCATTGTCTAGCATAAACAGGCAGATTAGTGGCGATTCATTAATACTGAATTTTTGTGTAAATTAGTACCACTATCCGTCCTTGTCTCACTGTTTGTGCTGTTGGGCCCAGGTGAACTATTTGAAGAGACAACGGTTTTGTCAGCTCCATTAGTGGTCTCTTCTGATACTAGAATTTCCAAAAGAAGAACTAGTGAAACACTGAAACCTCATTGTTAGGCAGCAGATTGTATTCAGCAAAATGCATACCTTGTTGTCCAGTGACGTTGTTATTTCCCATGATCTCAGTACCCACCACACTTCGCAGCTCAAGTTCTGAAACACTATGAGCAATCACAACATATTAGTTAGCTCAAGCCCTACCAGATATGATTGTATGGAAGACAAGGGGATGTGCAAGTGAGCACCACAGACCATGATGGATTGATGGTAGAAACTTCAAGATCAGTTAGAAAGAACGACAACAAGACATATTGTTGCCTGTGAGCCTCATAGTATTTATAGTGCAGGGGGCTCATTATAAGAAACACAAGCTTTGTGGGTCACTATTTCCTCTTAATAATTTTTGAAAAGTTAAGTAAAGTCAGTGATCTGACTGTATTATGACTACATCATTAATCAACATGACTGGATTTGTTTAGAATAGGGTCTACTGAAATTTAGTAGGAAAGCTGGACACTTTTTGTACAAAAGTCACAGAGGCTCTGCTATATATAAGAAGAAAAAAATAGTCACAAAGGCTTGGTCATATTGGGAGCATGGTTTAGCACAATGGCTCTATGCTTTACTTAACTAGGAACATGTTTATTTGCTTGCTGCCCTGTCCCCTATATATTGAGACTAGGGACACCAATTTCGCATTTCTTTTAACTTTTTTTTTTGTCACTAACAGATATACATGTTCGTTGAAGATGAAGTTACTGAAGTATCAGTAGACATGGGGCTTGGACGCGTTTACATATAGGACCTACAAGATATGGTTTTGTTCATGCTAATTATGTGATGAGCTGCTACAAAACTTTGACAGGATGTAACGAGCACATTTCTTTGAACCAATAAAGCTTTCGGCGCATGTTTTGGTTTTAGTATGCCTGTGGACACATTTGATTCTTCCAATGTCACGCTCCCTGTCTCAGGGATTTTTTTGCAAGCATTATCATGGCTTGTTTCGTTGTTTGGCTCTAAAGCTGGATCCAGTTGGGTTGGCGGGAGACATGTAGTTATGTTTACATATATGGCTGTTTCAGTTGCTTCTTTCCTCAATGGTTCATCATCTGTACCAAATTGCTAATTCCCGGAAGTTGTTTTCCACCTCATGCTTTCCTAAGAAAATGTGTCAATTATGATTTCTGTCACCAGCTCAATCTAGCGCAGTGGCTGTTCACAGTTGAGCTCGTTTATTTGTTTGGCCTTTTCTCTTTCGGAAATACTGTGGGTAGGGCGTCCGGTCATCCGAACGCTTGCGTTGGTGGGCCTCGACGCCGCCTGAACGGTCCAACACTGCCACTTGTCCGGACGCCATCTTGCGTTGCTTAATTAAGAAAAATCTGCTCTTCACTTTCCTAACGAATCGCCGCCGTTCCCACACCAATTCTCGAACCCACTCTCGAATCGACGCCGTGCTCCACCGCGGCGCTCTCCACTGCGCTTGGCCGACCACCATCCTTCCCCTCCACTGCGCCCGAGCGCTACTGCCCGCCTTCCTCTCTCTCCATCGCTCTCATCGTCTATCGTGTGGCTTACGTTCTGCATCGCGCCCGCCCCGGTCGCTTCTGTCCTTTTTCGGTGGCGGCTCGTGCCACGGTGGCGGCTCGTGCCAGGAGCGGCGACCAGTAGGCCTTCCTCTTGGCCCTCTCTCTCTCCACCGGAGTGTCCCGTCGCAGCCTTCTCCACCAGAGTGACGATCTGTTCGCTACCAGCGAGCTCAACACCAGTTAACTCCACACACCAACGATCCTCCGTTCTCCCAAGCAGCAAAGACATGTTGGGCTGAAACCGCATGTTTCAAACATATGTTTTAATTGTTTCAGAGATATGTTGCAAGTGTTTCGTATGGATGTTGCAAAAGTAGATCGGAATATTGCATATGTTGTAATGCTTGTACACGTATGTTGCAAAGGTCTGTTCCCAATGTTTCATCTGTTTTTTTAGACGTACGTTGTAAGTGTGTTTATCTGGATGTTGCATGTGTTTTACACATATGTTACAAGTGTTTTATCTGGATGTTGCGTACGTTTTGCAATGGTTTTCTAAGTGTTTTTCAGGTGTATTTTGTAAATATTTTAGACGCATGTTTCAAGTGTTTCATCTATCTTCAAATGTATGTTGCAAGTGTTGCATTAGAATATTTCAAAAATAGTTCGGTGTTGTACATGTTGCAATGTGACCCACTTGCCATAGCCTCTGCTATTGCTAGGGTGTCGTCGTGGGTCACCGTGTGGACGCCTGAGGCCAGCAGACGCCTCCATAGTGTGTATCCGCTGGCGGGGTGAGGCAGGCGCGCTCCTGTGCTGCGGGGTTACGGGCGCGCAATGGAGCAGCGCTTCTGTTTCTCTTTAAATCAAGGATTGGTTGAAACTTGAACCTTTATCACACCTAATTTTAAGGATAAAATTGAATGCATTAAACTCATGTGTGCTCAGGAATCAGTCACACACACAAGTTGATAAATTATAAAAAGTATCATCACAATGTATCTTACATCACGATTAATGACGACATATAGTCTTACACAACACAGCGGAAGATAAAATGATAACTCTCTCGTGGAACTCCATCACAGGGAAGGTCAACTGGTTGACCACAAGCCTAATAATCCTCAGGAAACTCATCATACACGTTGTCATCTGTTACCCATCCGGGTTTTTTATCCAAATATAGAAAGTAAACAAGCGTAAGTACATCCCGTACTCAACAAGATAACATGGGGTTCATAAGGCTAAAAAGGATGACACTGGTTTACTGCTGTTAGCACTTTTAGTAAGTCAAGATTTTATCATCAGTGATTGTCAAGTTATGCTTAAGCTTCCATTTAAACCCACTTAATCAAATATCAACATCATTTGGATCATATCATCATAAACCACCATAAATGAACAACAATGAGTAACCAATTATTCTGTGAGTTTTCCGGGCCGCTCGTGACCGTGAATACGGCTGTTATAATAGTTTGTAACCCTCTGCAGAGGTGGTGCACATTCACCGCGAGTCGTGATTCCCATATGCCCGGTTAATTACTCACATATCACTGCCAAGGTGAGCGGGCAGGGTACAATATGAAGCCATTTCATAGGTTTCTCTAACAAGTTAGGGCCGCTAGGTTTCCTCGGTAGGCAGATGTAGGAACCCCCCTTTCCTATGGCACATATCCATCGCGGCTATACACATAGGAACGGAGGCGGTCTTATACCCAACGTGGCAAGCCCCTCTTGCGCCATAAAGGTAACCTCTAACAAGCTAGAAAAGGTCCTATTACTGAGCTAAAGTCAGAGCCATATGACTCTCATGGTTGCACTGTCAGTCCCAGCTTTTGCCGACAGATAAGTCCTTATGGAGGGCCGGGAGCAACATGATTAAAAGTCATTTGCACCTTCGCCCTATGGATCAGTTGTTATAAATCATGTTTTACTTTTATTTCCATAGATCCATTAACCATTGTATAGATCATGTTCAGTTAGAGCACTAGCAATCTACCCATATGCAATTAACTCAAAGGACTCAAGGGAACATGGCATCAAATAACTAGGATGTCCTTAAGGTTATCAAATTTAGACACATGCACATGAGTAAATGATTAAAGTGAATAGGACATCAAGGTAGGCCCATGCTATACTTGCCTTAGTTCACAAACTCCTGTTGATCCTGCTGGTCGTCGAAGAACTCTTGGTCTCCAACGTTCTCCTCACCGTCTAAACACGACCAACACGGCAACACACAACATTCCAGGAACATTCATGCAAAGCAAACAATCCTACAGTTAGAACAGTACACCAATAGTATAGAAAACAAGATAAAATGTTTATAAAAAGAATCTACGTCTCGCTATGACCACTTCAACGCGAAGTTCACGAAAATCGGAGCTAAAACGCAAAAGTTATGAATTAAATGGGTTTTCCTATAGCACTTTATTTAATTAATCCTAACCATGAAATTTAAAAGTTGCAAACTTGATTAACAGTGATACTAACACGTAGATTATGAAATTACGAAGCTAACGAAATTTGAACGGGTCAATTCGGAGCTAAAACGAATTTTTTATGAGCAAAATAAATCTAGTGGCATTTCTATAAATACTAAAAACGTATTTTGGACTAAAACAGTGCACTTTATGTTTTCAAAACGAGAAAGCTTACTCTGGAAACTACGCTAGGGATGGCGGGTTCAATTCATCCGAAACCAAGGGACTCTTAAGCAAAATTGCCAGGGCGAAAGGGTATCGGCCATTCTGGGCCATCGATCAATCAAGGGATGGCCTGGATTAGAGAAGGGAAGAGAGAGAGAGGGGAGACGCCGGAACAATGGCCCGACGGCGGCGCTGCCATGGCCGACGGCAAGGACCTCGCCGGTGCACGGGAAACAAGGCCTAGAAGCCTTGGTTTTCGCATCCGAGAACACCTAGGGATAGAGGGGGTGAAGGAGACCTCAGCTAGGCCGAGGATGGGGCCGGTGGATGCGGTTGGCATGGTGGTCGCCATGGCGAGCGGCTGAAGCACTCGGGCACACGCGGCAAAGGCTCTAGAAGCCTCAAAACTCGAATTAAATGGCATGGGGAGATAGAGGGGAAAAAGGCGAAGCTCACCGCGACTTCAATCGGGGACAAACGCGGCTCGGGGATGGCGGTTCATGTGGAGGGGTGACAGCGGATCCCGGCGATCCTCGGCACAGCGGTTTTCGGCGTCCACGGCTCGTGCGAGTGCGAAATGGGAGCGGGGATAGGCAGCAGGGGTGCGCGCGGGGTCACGACACCCTTTTTGTAGAGGTCGGGCGCGGGGCGATGCGCCCACGATGTCAGGAGCGGGCAGCGGTCGTGGCTCGCGTGATGGTTGCGGAAGGAAGGAGACGGCGCCGATAGGTGGGGCCAGGCGGTCGGCGGTGGGCAGCAGGCGCAGCGCCTTGGCAACGATTAGGCGCTACAGGCATTCGAGTAGCATATCTTGTCAGCAGCAGCGTATTGGCTAAGCCGTCTTGATTCTTGCGGCATTTGAGCTTAAGCGCGGCGGGCTGGCAAGAAGGCCAGCCCAAAGAGGGAAGAGGGGAAAAGCGGCGGGTCATGGGAAGAAA